ATCAGTTAATCGTGGGCAATTATGTTACACCATTACGTCGATCAGAGAGCTTTTCATTTTTGCTTCATTCTATTCTTTTATCTTTTTTGCTTATTTTCATTACTTCTTTTTTTCTTCCTTCTCGACGTATCTTTGTTGTACTCGAAGAAGCAGCACCGGCCGCACGTTGAAAAATTTCCGTCGAAACGGCCGTCGACCAGTGCTGATTCCCTGTCTATTTTTTTCCTCCTTTCGTTTAATATTCCGTAACATATGTTACACACGTCGAAGAACAACGTCGATCGGTTGGCACATAAAACGGAAGCAACATTTAGACCAATCGCGGCGCGATAATAGTTATATACAAACATGAGAACGTAGGGAGGACTACGACGTACTTTCGTATATTTTATTGGCGTGACGCTCGGTATAAAGGGATAAAAATTATTTCTCTACGCGTATGAAAAAGTAGAAGTAGAGCCCGAGCAATAAGAAAAATCCTCATAAAAGTACTTCCGTATTGTGAAAAAATGTGGCGTTACGTGAAGGCGAATGGAACACTGGCGATAATAATTTTGGAACGGATACAATTGCGCGGCGTGTCGTGATGCTCGTTCTCCACTTGCCCTCCACACTTTTTATCCCGACGTCGATTCCTGATCCGAAATGCTCGCGCGTCGTTGAGTATTTTTTGTTGCACTTTTTTTTAGAAACAATGACGCTGCCGCTAATCTCTATTTATCGATAATTATCTCGTCGCGGTAAAAAGAACGATACAAAGTGAATATATGTATACCAATATACATCTAGTATACAAAAGCTCTCGATTCTTCGTTTTTTTCCATTTTCCCATTTCATAGTTTGATATAATTCGTAATTTAAGTATTTCCTTTCTCCCTTTTTTTGTGTCTATCTAAGTGCTATGTACATTATATGTTTTATATACATGTAAAACGATTAATTGATTCTTTCTTCCATATCCTTAATGATTGTATAATTAGGATTGACTATGTCTTAGAGTAATCAACGAAATTACGAGCTGTCGTTATTATTATGTAAAATATCAAATGTCGTACGTGTTAGATGGTATGTCCATCTCCAAGGTACCATTTTGGACGAATAGCGGTCCGTCTAACATGCCTAGCACTTTGATGAGCAAATACTTTGGAGATTACATAAATCTAATAATAATCTTCAGGTAATATTAAGTATAGATGATTTGTTTTTTTTTTTAATTACAAATATAAAACATGTATATGTAAATAGAACTCTTAATTATGCGCGAACATGTTCATCTCTAATTGAGCATACGTGAATTTCTTATCATCAGTCTAAGCCGAACTGTGCGGCTCCATACACAACGGCGGTTTAACAATACACGTCTCTTTCTCTCTCTCTCTCTCTCTCTCTCTCTCTCTCTCTCTCATTTTTTTATTTCTCCTTTTATCTCTTTTTGCTTTAAGCTTCATAGTTATCTACCATATTAACAAATAATATCGCTGTAATAAGAAACAACAATATATATGCATACGCTACGGAAAAACTTTATCCATAAAACTTTCAAACAATTTCTTTAACAAGCGATGTGACGCACGTGGCCGTCGGTCAGGTAAAGTATAATTGTCTCCTACAAACAATTCCACTCGTCGTGGAATGAAGCGTAGATCCCAGAAGATCTCTCTCCTCTTCCCATCGTCGCGAATCGGTTCCTCTTTTACGAAATCCCCAACTTACGGGAATCTTAATGCCAACGAACGCAACGTAGTCCCGTGCGAAAACGAACAATTTTACAAATAAAAATTATAACGATCATAATAATCGTACAACGGAAATCGTTATAGCATGTAAATGTCGATTCGAGGAAACGCGACGTCGTTGGGATCTTTGCACCTCATTGTCACAGCCCTTTACCGCCGAAATACGGATACAGCGTGCGTTACATAGCTTTCTTCGCAATATATCCCCTTTGTAATAGGCCAAATGCATTGAGTTTCCGTCATGGTCATCGTCGTCGTCATCAACGTTAACGTCATTGTCGGTCACTTTCAAAAATATATGTACGCTGACTACTTAGGCTTTCGACGAAGAACGGAAAGGCGTTGTCTCGTTCACAATCAACAGGATTAATTTTTCTTTTCTTTTTTTCGGATATACAGTGTTATTACCCTCTAGCAATACTTCGTTTATAGCCTAGGTAATAGTGAGACCCTCATATGATCCATTTGAATTACTTTTTTCTCGGTTACTTTTTTTGTAATTTTTCTCTTCCGACCGCGTGAAACACTGAGACGTTATCGCACTATTTACACGGTTTAATCATAATTAGTAATTGGAAATAAATGCAAAAATATATGTATGTGTATGAACATTTAGTCGAGTTAATACGAGTATATCCGCGCAAGTTTTTCCTTCCAATCGTTCGCGCGAGTTGCGTGACAATCTTCTTCGTGCGCTCTTCTCGAAATAATCGGTAGAATATATTTACTCTTAACTAAAAATCATTACGTAGCAATTCAACTTATGTACTATTGTCTTTGTTCAAGATATCACTACGCCCAGACATTCACTATGTCCCCGTTCTTTCGTCCTCCTCTGGGAAAAAAAATCTCTCGCTGATTATGTTACTCTTCGCATGTCTTCATCTCGTAGCGGAGACGTTCGTGATAAAATCCTGACTGGGTCCGCGATGAATCACGATCTCAGCTCAACTCGATTTTCAGCCGAGTGAATTCAACATTTTGTCGTTATTCAGTTTTTGTTTTTTTAAACGCGCCCGCGTGAAGATGCATCATGGATGCATTCGCTCGTGTATTCGTGGCGAACGAAAAGTTCGGAATTACCAGTAAAACGCAAACGTACATGGGTTCTTTTTTTTTTAACGACCGATTGCTTGCGATTGACAATCGTGAAAACATGAACGGTCGTTTAACATACATTGTATATGTGTATAATTTATCGCGTGTATGTAGAAGGTAAAAATATATTAAACAGTCGGTACGAACTATCTACAGTCTATTGACTTCAGGATCGGCAGTGAAACCTCTCGTTTTCTACGTACGATAGTGCTCAGATTCGTTTTTCGTTTCATTAGAATTACTCAAGAGACAATCGCAGCGCAGTTGTAAATAATGATACAAGTTAAAAGACGTAAGTAACTTTAATGCAAGTAATTAAAGCGCGAATGTGACTTATGATATGTAAATTATGTTATGCTAATAATGTACTTAAACAGGTCATTCGTGTTACAGATATAATGTATTAGTAAAGTTCTCCCGTGTAATTTTTAACACATCGTCGCGTAATCTCTTTCTTGCGATGGGTAGAATAGTCTGAAGCCAATTGAAGAGTAATTATTTCTGTGTTTACCATTATATCTTCCACTTTTGGTAGACACAGAAATAAATGATAAAAGAAAAAAGTCTAAAGTTTTCATGTGAAAAATGTAATCATCAATTGAATGGCTCAAATAAAACTTAATATGCTATTTTTAAACATATTAAATTTATATAATAAACATTTATTAAATTATTCATATTAAATATATAAAAAATGATTTCAAAAAACAATTTCAATAAAAAAAAGGAAGTAACCTTCATATCTTTTTTGGTACCTCCACTTAGAAAAAAATAACGTGATTAAAATATGCTCCTCCCCCCTCTTCGTTTCTTTCATTTAAAACATTTTCTTGTATTAATAGTTTCGAAGAATTGATCGTAGACATTTCTTATATATATAAGTATTTTTATATTGAAAAAAAAGATATACTTTTACAAAATTCCATCCGCTGTGAATTTCTTGTGTAATAATGTAATATATGTAAGAAATTTAAATATTTTTTTACAATATATGAACATAAATATGACAGTATGCAATCCCCCTTTATTATTTATGTATTATTTATGTACTTTTAAGTGAGATATTAAAATCAACTTCCTCTCCGAATATACAATAATAAATATTAAGATCATAATCCTTCCTAAAATTACAATTGACTCCAGGCTCTTCTATTCATTCTCGCAAGGCTCGTAAAATCCTGAATGCTCTTGTAAAGTACGAAATGATGGATTCACTAAGAATTCTTGTCATTTAGTGCTAAAGATGGCTATATTTTATAACTTTAAGTGTTTCACCAAGTGGGAATGTCGAGATTAGAGATCAAATTGCCACATTTAGCGCTAAACTCGGCGTTACCATTCGTAAATATTGTGTAGAAGGAGGTATCGTTAACTTAAATAGAGGATCATAAACGACATGAATAGAGAATGAGAAGGAAAGAAAGCTTAACGTCGCTGCTATCAAATTTTCTACGATTTTCAATGCACACCTCTTTTGTAATAACGATTGTCTCGCCTCCCTCAGTCTCGAATTGTCGGGATGAACCGACTTGACATGAAAGTAAATAATGGACGGTCATGACGGATATGCCCACTCTTGCGAGCTTTAAGGGGCAGTATTGTGCGATTATTAATTAATTGCTATCAATATTTTAGAAATCAATATTTCTGATTTTGCGCAACAGTCATAATTATGAAAACCTGATATCCCCGATGAGATCAGTATTTTGGAATTAGAATAACCAACGTCAAATTGGAAGACAGATGGACAATTTTGTGCATTAAAAAAGCTTGCAAGAACTAGCTTGAGTTAATTTTTGAAATACAAATTTATTTTACAGCATGAACTATATAATAGTTACAACCTAACTAGGAAAATAATAGAAATAAAATATTAAAAACATGTAATCTGAATATATATTATTTTTTTCTTTCAAGCTTTAAATCATGATATATTGATTATTCTAGCGCCAAAAGACAATATATTCCATGATATTTATAGTAACAATAATGTCACTGTTGATCGTGAAGTTTGATTGCACATTTAGAAATTTGATAATATCTATGTATTTCGGCGTCAGTCACAGTCAGAGCGAGGAAAGTCATTCCCCATATTGATATTTTAAGGATCTCTCGCGGATTTTCCGACAGTTGTTGATATCAGCATAGTGATATCTAAACATAATCGCTATGACGAGAAGCGTACTTGCTGACGTTCACAAAATAACCGAAAAACAATTATCATGGGGTTGTTTTCTCGTCTATTTCTTGGATCATGCGTGTATTTACAGAAAAAATATACTTTCCTCGACGATCGGTGCGTCGATTTGGAGCTCGATCGTTCGATGCGTCGTGATTACGTCGCTGTTTAGCGAGTACGCTAAATAACGTTAAGGCGAGCGGAAAAGATGAAGAATTAGAGCAGGGAAAATGATAAAGATGAGGGGAGGGAAAGGCAGAATAGCGGAGGAGGAACGGTAGAACCATCCTCGAGTTTTTTTAAGAACGCTCGCGTGTGTTGGATCGCGCGGTCATTCTCTCTTTCTCTTTTTCTTCAAGATCGCTCCTTATCGAGCATTCAATTATACATACATGTATCCCTAAGATTAGAATTCAATCGCGTAGGAGAGCCCCGCGCGTGTCTCCTTTCTAGGAAGTAACCGCGTGGAAGGGAAAGGCTGTTTACAGCATGAACCTGGTGCACCACTCTCTCATCCCGCATCAACGTTCTTATTTTCTCTTTGTTTTTGTCTTTCTCTATTTACACACTTCGTCGTACTTTCGTTCTTGTGCACCAAACAGAGTCCTCGGAGATTGTTCAGGCGCATGATGATGAGTGCCAGGGCCTTCAGCCGCGACACTGTCGTTCGTGAGCCGTCGCTACGCTCGTTCTTTTCGCTCGTCGTTTAGGGAGATGAACAATGACGATGCGAATGAGGTGGACGATTCAGAGGAGGATCCATCATCACGATGCTCTGCGTCGTTCAGAGACGCGTACTCCTCTCTGTGACCGTGGTTGGTTGATGGTCCTCGTCGTCGTTCTGAGCGATGGCACGATATTTGCCGCGCGTCGAGCTGGGCCCGAAGATTGGTGAGCCTCAGACAAGATGACCGTCGATGTCGGAGTAACTAGGCGTCGCCGCAAACGTCGACAGCGGATGACTCTGACAGGACGGTGGCGGCGGATGCAAATGCGGATGCGAATGAGGACCTCCGTTGTTGGCACCGGTACGAGCGAACGTGGCGGGTGGCGGCGGCACCGATGGCGGTATCGGCGACTTGGTGCCCGCGGTCATCACAGTGACATCGGGCGGTGGCACGGGACGTGGCAGCGTTCTAGTGCGCGTCAGGGTGCCGGTGCTAGCTCCCGTCATGTGTCCACCCATTATATGACCTGTCGAACCCATGGATGAAGGATAGTAAGGTCCGCCGGTTGGATCGATAGCGGGTGGTGCCGGACTTGGATTCCCGTCGTAGCCCATGTAGCCTCGACCGCCATTGTCCATCTCCACGCTGTAGAAGCTCACGTCGTTGGGCGGCGCCGGGCTCGGATTGCCGATGTAACTCGACTTTGACACTATAACATTAGATGATAATTGTTTTTAAGAGGAGACACGAAAAGCTACATAGATGTTAGATACTGCTGGAGAGACAATAATGAAAATTCAGCGGATTCCATATATGCCGTTATGATTTATGACATTGCAATCCGTCAAATTTCATATCTAGAATTCCAATATTTTTCTTCATATTATTCCTTAGTGTTTTAGGGCACATGATGTATCACTTTATTCCTATTCAATGAACATGGATAGAAGGATATGTCATACAATCATATAATTTACAGCCTACATTTCTTATCATCGAGAATTAAAAACAATATGAATTTTTTTAACCTTTCGATGTCGCACTACAGAAACAACAAGTCCGTTGGCATACCCAACAAATTCGATTGTTTATAACTTTCATAAAAATAAACATATTTTAAAAGTAAATATTTTTTTCAATCAAAACATTATACATTAAAGAATATAACAAACAAATATGTATATATTTTATTAATAGAAAAATTATAAGCAATGAGAAAAATTGGAAAAGTTGGAGGAAGAAGCTGGATATGCCATACTGAGAATGACACCGAAGAGTGAATATATTTAAAATTGTAGAAACAAGGAGTATATTAAAATTTACGTGTAACGTATAAAAAAATAGCGGATCATACTGTATTTATGTAATTTGTATTTATTGATACTTACACGTACCTGAGAGAGTCCCGCTGGCGGTGGTTCGCTGCGGCGGCGAGTCCATGTTCATGGACGTTTGCATGTGATTGCTGCGACGACCGAGGGTGCCCTGATGAACCTGCATCTCTAAACCGCCTTTCCCGAAATCCTGCATAGTTTGATCTATTAAATACGTGCTAGCTGCGGTTTTGCGCCCCTCATCCTGTTATACAACAAATTGAACGACAAATTGATTTGTGATTTGTGGTCCGATATCCGGTTACATTTCGCAAATAACACAGACGGACATGAAACGGGCTTCGAAAGATAAATCTTTGTTTCAGAAATTTGCTTCAATAAATCATAAAATTTTTCTTATATGAATGCAATCAATATACATATTGTTTCTGATATAATAGAATATCTAAAAGAATTATTTTGTTACATACTGTTTCTATCATTAGACTTTAAGTATAAATCTGAAAATAATATAATAAGTAATTTCTATACATAAATAATTTAATTCCTTGTATTTCATTGTAATTAATATATCCACGCCATTCTTTGTAATTAATATATTAATACAAGTTTCAACAAGTGTATTTAAATATTTTTTGTACTTAAAATCCTTTGGAAGTATGAGTAGAGAAAAGCGAGAGAGAGAGTGAATTATTTATATCTTGGTAGTATTAGAATTAGAATATCAATAAACGCTTAAATATACATTCAATTTTCAATCGCTAAAATATACATTCAATTTGCATTTATTAACATTTACAATTAACTTCATTTCCATTTCAAATCTTCGTGCTAATTTTACGAAGATAATATTAACAATATTTAAAGTATCAAGTAGTCTAATAATTTAATTAATTTTACTAATCTAATTAATAATATAATTGACTTATAATAAGCTTATAATTAGCGATTTATTAATAACATTTAATGTTGTATTATTAATAATAAATTAATAACATAAAATCTGTAATCTCCTATAATTAGTGACACCTAATCGAAAATTAGTTTTAATATTTTTTGTATGTTAAGTCTGAATGCATAATTAACAATGAGAAATTTTATTACGAAGCTGGCTCCGATATCCGCTCATTTTGTTTTGTTTAACTTGCTATTTTAAACGTCATTTTGCTTGTAGTTCTACAACATAGATTTACGCTAAGAATTGTTCGCACATTTTATGTATTTTTTTCGACGAAGGATAGCGTATCTTGTGAATGCTACAGTATCAAACAGCCATACAATCGCCATAGCGTGTCAAATCGACGCGATCGAGATTAACCACGTTCTTCGATATTACGCTTTCCTTCGTCTCGAACATCTACGGTAATGTACCCGTTAAACACAAACTAACAGTAACATTATATAAAAAATGCATTCAGAAATATAGGATGTTATCATTTTATCTTTGTTGTTCACCGAATGTTAAACGGATAAATAAAATAATATATGCATTAAGAAAAATTTCTGGTTAAAAATGAACAAACTAGAATATTCTAATCATATAAATTAAAATTTTTTTTTAAAACCAAAAAATCTTGATTTGTCCGCTTTTAATCAGAATTTCAATTAATGCAACCAGATTCTTTTTTTCGGTATAAATGCAATTGAAGTTTCTGAATGCAGTCCAATGTTACAATTTCCCAGTCAACAATATAAATGTATAATATATATTGTACATAACATACATATTATATATAACAGTTACATTATTGAGTAGGAAATTATAATATTATAATATTAATTTGATGTTACTAATAGTTTGTGTTCAGCGGGATAAGATAATCTATTTATTAAAGGACGCATCGTTTCCACATCGTTTACCCCTTCAAAATTCATCGCGCACTGAATGGATTCCTGCGTTAATTGTAATAGCGAGTATTAATTGAATATATTACACTATTTTTTTTATTAATTTTTTAAAATAATATTTCACGATTTTCGCGGAACAACATGAAGTTGCCTGCACGCGCTTCGATTCTTTCCTAATATCACGCAACATATAAAGAACGTGCCAAAACGGCGGTTTATTCAGTTTATTGCATGTCGCGATGTTTACTCATCCCGAATGCGTGTGTCGCAAATGCAATAAACGGAAATGCTGAAACGACGAGTAATCATCGTGTTGTATTAACGTGTACACTCGCGCGAGATTAATCGCGTTGTTCAACGTCGCGTTAGTGGCGCGTTTCTCTTCGGTCGAGTTCTCGCCTCGCGTTATTCATTTACGGTCTATTTTATCTATTTGTTTAAAAATGTAGAATTTTCGGTGTTAGTTGTTCATTCGAAGCTTATTGCGCCAATAATTAAACAGACATTTTCATCAATTGTGGCATTTACAAGAAATAGCTTTATTGAAATCTTGTAAAAAATTCTCTAAGAATTCTCGGATTTTTTCCAAGTATTTTTATTTAAAATGCCAGACAAGATTAGACAATTTTTTAAATGCAACTTTGAAATAAATTGGAATGCAAGTAATGCAAATAGATTAAATATTATAAATTAGTAAAAGAAAGGTATTCCAAGAGATTATATCCATCATTTTCTACAATTAAAATTGCCATTGCCTTCTTTAATATCTGACAGTATGCATTTAGTAACTTTGTATTCTTTAAATTCTCGCGCGCGGTTTGTGGTGACGCGGATCCGTGTGAAGTTGCTGGCGCGCGTTTCGAAACGTTGCCAACATCACGCGATGCACGATACACATAAATGGCACTGAAGCGTCCATGTCGGCTCGCTGCGTCTCGCGCTATTCGCTCATCCCGATTGCGTCGCAAGTGCAATAAACGTCGGAAATACCGACAAATCATGAGTGAGCATCGTTTTATATTATACCAACGTATACGATACGAAATTAATCGCGTCATTCGATGTCGCGTTACTTGCGTGCTTATTCTTTTCGGTCGAGTTCTCCTCCCGCGTCATCCATGGGTATAGTCTATTTGTAAAAAAACGCGGGATTTCGGTGGTAGTTATTCATTCGAGTCAGTAACTCATCGTGTTAGTAATTGAATATAGATATTTGCATCAATTGTGGCGTTCAGTAACTCTCAATTGTTTCGATAATATTTCGATCGCGAATTCGCATAAAATTGCCGTGAGTTTAGAGTCCTTCCTTATATATCACGGTGCATGTAATGGCGAAGCGTTCACGCTATTTGCTCTCGAACGCGTCGCAATAAACGCAATAAACGTTGGAAATGCTGAAATCAATAACGGATAAACATCGTATATTATGTCAACGTACACGATCGTGCGAGATTAATCATGTCATTCAATGTCGTCTTAAGGCTCGATTGTAAGGCACCAATGTAAAGGCGGGAGCACAGAGTCTTGTATAACGCATAATGTATAATATGCATATGAAAATTAATCGATCAAAGTCTTTCATTTCCCTTTATTTTTTTCGACGAAATAAAAGACTAATTGTTGAATTTCTTCTGCTTTGAGCATTATACGTTATGCATAAGGCATAAAGATTTGTGTTCCTTTAGATTAATTTTAATCTCGATTCTATTTATTCTTTATCTTTTTCTAATCGAAGAACATTTGCGCGCGTGGTTCGCAGTGATGATGAAGTCCGCGTGAAGTTGCCGACGAACGCTTCGAGTTCTTCCTAACTTCGCGGCATGCATATGGCGCCAAAACGTCGACTTCATTACGTCTCATGCTTCATATTCGTCCCGAACGTGTCGCAAGTATATACAACAAACGTTGGAAACGCCGAAATGAACGGGTGAGCACTGGACTGTATTACATATTAATTATACGATTGCAATTAACCGTATCGTTCTACAATCTCAACCATTTCTATTTTCAGCATGGAGATGCGTCATGTTATGTCTACCCTTCTAAATCACGCATCAGATACGATCAGATCGATTAAAGTACTCGATTATCAACCCTAATTAGAGAGAAATATTGATTAAACTTTCTAATAGCTAGCTCGACAATTGTGTTATGTGAATCAGCATATTCACGCTCGTTCCGAATTTCTCGCTCAACGCTCGTCATTACGTCGCGCATAATGAACATCGAAAATCGCGATCGGACGATCGATCGTTGCGTATTGCGTTATTTTTTTCGTCATGAGTGCAATAAACATCGGATGTACTGTACAAAGTGGCGAGAGATCATGTCCCGTTAATTAGTAATCGCGACGATAATTAGCTATTTAGTGCTTCGAATTGACTATTATCCACCTCAGTGACTATTTCGGGCGATGGGAACACCGGATGGAGAAATAGCGGCAATAGTGTAACGACTGGTAAGTAAATTTGTCCGATCGTCGATTAATTAACCTGGCATTATCCCGGAAAAGCGAGTTTACCGCGAATCAGAAAAAATAAGCTATATGCGTTATATTCTCATATTATATTCTCATTCGATCAATAGTAATAAATTTGATATTTCGTGCGTGAAAAATTCGTTAATCCTATCTTTAACAGAATATAAAATAATAAAAAATAATAAAAAAAATTTTAACTAAATAAATAATAAATAATAAAATAATGAAAACCAAACAATAACCGAATAGAAACTGAAAATGTAAATTTTATCAGATTTTTAAAAAATTATTTTTTACCGAATTATTTTTGCGTGAAATATAATCTTTCTCTAAATTTATTGGTTTAAAAATTGTAAAGTATCTTCGGATTATTTATTTTCAAAAAAATAATTTTTATACATCGATAAATAAATTTGTTATTATATGTATAAAAAAACATAGTCTTTTCATTTTCATTTACAGATCAATATCATGACATTCAATTCCACGTCATTTCGGTGAGTCATATAAATTAAATTTTTTAACAAAGTTAAAATCAGTATTTTTTTCTGTTCATTGAATTTGAACATCGGTAACAATTGAATTTTAACATTGTGCGCGGTTCATCATATTTTATTACTCTCTCATTATTACTCTTACTTCCATTATACACTGGAGATCTAACACTACTGTGAGAAAGAAAGCAAGTGTTTAATGATTTAAAAAGCCAAGAGTGATTTTATGAAGAATTTATAAAACCGTAAAATCTTATTGGATTAAGATGTTGCGAGCAACTTAGACTGTTGTAATCATAGCGCTATGTTTTGAGTTTAAGAGGTACGTTAAATTTACCTGAGGGTAGTTACCTTTAGCCAAACTCTGCGATCGAATGATATGAAGTCATTATATGACAAATATAGATGATAACATATTATAAAACAATATCAGGATTTTATATGAAAATGAAAGTACGTTATGCGAAAGCTGTAAAAATAACTGCAATTTGAGAAAAAAAACAGTAGTTTAACTTCAAATTATTAAAGTTAACTTCGTATTCAGGTTCCTACAGATTACTGGGCTCGTAAGTAAGACCTCGTGTAGCTTTCAAATAATCGATAACTGAAATAATATCATGCTAAAATAATGCGATACATATTATATAAATGGTTGAAAAATAAAATTAAAATTGGCAGCAAGAGGAAATAACAGTATCGTTATTCTGCTCATTTTATTGCTTATCACAACATCTTAGAAGATAAAACGGAACTGTGAAAAAACATAGAAACCAAATGATAAAAAGGAGCGAGAGCGAGAGTAGCGAAACTAATAGGGGGAGCGGAACAGAAAAAGTGTTGCTAGAACTCAAACCTACCCTCCGGAATTACTTGTTACTAAGAACATACTGACTGATGGCACTGACCACGTAATCATTAGCGTCGAAGTTGACGTCGCTCTTCTCGTCTGACATCGAACTTAATTCGCCAGTCATGGTGTCGCCATTGACGGTGGATGGTGCATACATATCCGCGGTCTGTGATTTATTAATGCCTATTCAAAAAAAATAACATACGTTAAACATGTGATTAGCAAAGCGAAATGCGCATGGTAAGGCTACACAGCCGCGTACAGAAGATTAATTTAATTGAACTCTCTTTACTTGAAATCTCATGAAGTAAAATCTCACTCGAAAAAACTGAAAATTTAGCCTGTTTTAAAAGAAGAATGAAAATACGACCACTCTTGTTCAAAAGAGGCAGATTTTTCACTCTTTTTAGAATGAAATTTATTCTTTTGAAATGAGATTCACTCTAAAAGAGTGAAATCTTAATCCCTTTTTTGGAATGTAATCCCAGGGTAGAGAATCTCACTCCAAAAAAGGGATTGAGATTTCACTCCTTAGCTTCGGAGTGAATCTCATTTCAAAAGAGTAAATCTTACTTTAAAAAGAATGAAAATCTGCTCTCTCTTGAACAAGATATTTTCACTCTTTTTTCAGAACAAGCTAAGTTTTCAGTCTCTTCAAATGATATTTCACGAGATTTTGAGAGAAACAATATAATTTTATTTTTTTAACAAATAAATCGCGAATATTTTTGACAACATATGTGAACAAGAAAAGACACATAATGGTAATGTTAACTAAGTTATAATCATGAATTCATTAATTTTAATTTTATCAATCTATATCATAGCTACATATTTATTAATATAATTAATTAGTTTTATTGATAATTAAAGTTAGACAATTCCTTAAACATTTTAATTAGAGTAAATGATATTGTATGTAATTTTCATTTTACTTTAAAGTCTTTTGCAAAATTGATTAGGAAAGTAAACTCATCTTCTGCCATGGCTGTAGCTGAACATTGGGCTAAATCTTATAATTTGAAGCGCATACGCTAAATATTGTTGGTCACAAACTTACGAGTTTTATTTCGTTTTCGTATTATGTACCACGACATGATGAAGACATTAACGATAAAAATGATGACGGAAGTTGCTGCTAACGTATAGATATAATTCATCGGAAAGTCACCCTTTTCCGAGAGGACATCCGGCAGGTTTTCCTCGTTATTCGGGCCTAGAGAAATAAAGGAAAGAAAAAACACATGATAGATATTATATTTACCGGTACGTTGGACCTTCTTTTTCGATTTTATTGTAGCAAAGACTATGGTTGCGGCAATGAGTAGGCAAGCAGAGGCGGAAACAGTGATGATAATGACGATGATGTAGGAGGAACTATTCTCGCTTGATGTCAACTCGGTTGGTGGCGCCTCGCCTGTAACCCAAGCCAATGCCCCATCACCGGTTTATGTTATTCATGCAAGTATCTACTGTTAGTTACACGTTCAACTTCGAAATCCTCAGCTATTGCGAATGCTGTAACGCCATTTATTAGATTTTACGACCATTGGATTTAACTAGATAAATCAAATAGCAACTAAATAGCTTGCTTAGCTTATATCCCCATAAAAAGCAAGCAAGTAACTTGTCTTTCTATATTATAAAATAATCATAATAATGCGCGGTAGTTACATACAGTTCAATTTCCAAATTTCAATTGTAATTTCCTTATCAAGCTTACAATTTATCTAACTTGGAATTAGAAGCGTTTGAAAAAATACAATTTCGAAAAAATTTCAAGGCTAAGCGTCACCGTACTGATACCATTGGTATGAATCATGCTGAAAATCACTGCGTTATACGTATGATGTTGTATATGCTATGCTACGTAATGTCCAATGTACTTTATTACAACTAACGATATAATGCCATGCGAACAACATTCATGAGACGCACTAAATATACGTAACATAATATACGATCAACCCAATTACTGAGTACAATTAATTATGTGGATGCGAGGCAATCTCGTTTAATTATGTCTCAATGATCTGCATAATGATTTAGCAAGCTGTTATTTTTTATCATGTAGTGTGAATAACTTAGTACTATCTAGTACAGATATTTCGCTTATGAGAAAAAACTATAATCTTCATGAGAATGATCTTTATGATTATGATTTTTGTTAATTACGTCATACTATAGTGGAAAGCTATTTTTATTATTTTCAAGTAGTGAAGCGATCTACAGTGTTTATCTACAACTTACGAAGCGTCTGGACTTTGACGAGATCTGGTAAGAAACCGCTGTCTCCCTTTTCGTTGATGGCCTTTACGCTAAATACGTAATAAGTCCCTAGCGACAGGCCGGATATAGTAGCTTTGTATTCGCCGGGCACGACGTCCATATAGTGATAGCGATCGTCATAGTCCAACGCTTGTCGCCATCGTACTTGATGAGACGTCGGCAAACCTCCATCGAAACCGCGTTTCCAAATTAACGTGACTGAGTCGTGCGTATAGTTGTATACTTCCAAATCACTAGGCTTGTCCGGCGGTGAAGTAACGTCCAAAAGTATATTTTCTGTGGAGTGTCCCATTTTATTTTGGGCAAGACATTCATACTTTCCGTAATCCTGCGATCTCACTTTATAGATGGTCAACGTTGTTTCCGAATAGAGTTCCGACAGCTAGAAAATGTAGAGACGAATAATTACTTTATCATTAAGGATGCAAATATTATTAAGACATCAAAATCAAAAAGATATTTCGAATGCGTAACTGTCTTCCGAGTATATAGTTCTTGTAATAATACAGTTATCGTTTCTCTCGGCAAAATTTTAATTGGGTGTTGTGACCTCTTTACAACTTTCGAACTTGCAACGATAAATATATCCTTAACTATGTCCGACATGGAAATTCTATCAAAGCGAAATTCGTTCGAAGTTAAACGAAGAACAAGATTTACAGTACGCGATACAATACTATGGCCTAGGTGCTCTAAAGGAGATATACTGGTAAAGGAAGTCGTTATTTAAGAGATAAGTACATCTTATAAAGCGACTTACATCGCTGTGAGTGATACTATATTTATCCTCGGTTGCATTCGGCAATAAAGTTTTCCCATTGAAGATCCAAGTGAAATGCGGCAATGGAGATCCTCGCGCTTTGCAGAACAATTGGACGTTTATTCCTTTGTTCGCCGCTGCCTTTCGCGTCAGCGGGGTGTTCGTCATTTCTGGTTTAACTGCGCATAAAAGTACCAGTAAATTCTTTATTACGCACTTTCCGATATATGAATCGCGCACACGAATATATTTCGAGAAATTTTGCATATATTCCACGTGTATATCTATAACTGCTTTTTTTATTACGATTAAACGATATTTTTGTAACAATTATAGAGCCAGCGACTTATTATTATTAATTATTATTGACTATTATTGACTATTATTGATATTATATTGGCTGAAGCACAATTATTGTAATAATAACATTGTAAATTTAATTATTAATATCTATAATTAGGGTACTTTTAACTAAATTAATATAATTGTTTATTGTATAAATACTAAGCTTAAATAAATATTAGTAGTCATTATTATTAGTATTTCATATAGAAATTTTTCAATTTTTGTTTCAAAATTTTTGTTGCTAAATTCATTGCTCGTGTTTACTCTTTTTCTAAAAATATAGTAACAGTTAAAACCATTACTAAATGATGTATTACAATTAAATTCACATGATACAGCAATTAAATTGTCGTGTGATACAATATTTAAATTACTAAAATTGTTATTAAACTGAATCTATTCAATTTTTATCGTCCATTCACGCTTAGAATTTCTCACGTAGAATTCGACAATTAATTATTTATCATTGTAAATAATTAAAATAAAATCCTTTACGTACAATTAGTAATAAATAGAATAGGATCCGATGTTATGTTGCCAATGCCATTGTTGACTTTGCATCGATACTCGCCAACATCTTCTTGGCTGGGATTTTCTATGTGAAGATACGACGTCCGATTAATGAATGATGTCGAGTAACGTCCCGGCAGCTCAGGATTCGATCCTATTTTCTGCCATGTGACATACTCGTCGCCGATCGGACTGCCGTCGACTTCACAAAACAGCTTTGCTTCGATACCCGGTGGGTAAACTATCCCCGACGAGGAAGTACGCTTGATTTTAGCTGGATCTGGATATAGTGAATAAAATGAGTTATAATTTGCATATTAGCGAGAACAATTTTAGACACATATATTAAAAAACTTTTTAAAATCACTTGATGTCTAAGAAATCACTATAGAAGGAAGAGAAAGAGAAAAAAAATATTAAAGAAGATTAAAGTAATTATAAGAAATTCGACAAAAAAATTAGAGATAGGA